GTACAAACATCTTCGTCCTTCCAAAGGACTTGGCAAGCTTCTCGCTTTCCTCTACCGACACGGCGTCTTCCAGCTTCGATAGATCCTGAGTCTCTTCTTCCTTGATGTGCTCGGACAGATCCTTCATCAAAGCCCGGACAGTAGCCTCGAATGCCGGGTCCGTGGGTCTCATATTTTGGAATTTCTTCAGTTGTTCTTTGACCTACAGACACTATTATCAATAGCTGTTGGGTGAAAGGTGGTGGAAAGGATGATGAATGACTCACAGATTGATGCTCCTTGCGATCCTTATTCGCCATAGCTAGGCCATCAGGGAGTGACTTCTCGAACTGGGGATACACGACCAGTTCCTCAGCAATTGAATGACGGGCCAGCTCCCAAGTAAATTGGTTCTGCCATTTGGTTTTCTCCGTCTCGGTAGCAGAGTTTAGGATCTTGTTGTAGTAGTCTTCGATCTCGCGGTGATCGGTCTTGATTGCCTCGGATATACGGGATGCCATGATGATGGGAGATTGGGATATGAAGCGGTGTTGTTTTGGGTTAGATAGTAAGGGCTTGAGAATAGGGCGAGAGGGGTTGACAAGATGGCGAATAGTCATTATTAAGGGCTAGAGAGGAATACTGGTTGCACTATGTGAGTTATCGGTGGTCCTTCTAGTCTTCTTTAAACTGCTATAACCAGACGTCATTATGAATTACTGTGTAACATGTCCCTTGCTGTTCATACTAAATACGATCGTGGTTCATACTTAAGGTTTGGGCGGCATCATCATCACGACAGCTGCGGTTGCCGAGTGATGACCGGGCGGCGCTTTTGCTAAGAACCCACGCGGGAAGCCAAGGTTGTTAATTTTTGTTCCTGGCCAATGAACTCTGTGACATTTGTAAGTGTGAAGAATAGTCTGGATAATGACGAGAGTATTGAATAATAAATATCGGATGGAAAAGGATGAAATAATTAAAAGAAGGATGACATCACAGAAAAATGTTCTAAGAAAGAGATTGATGTATGTTGTTACCCGGTTGCTCCAGATGGTATCTGTATATCCATCTTCACAGCAGAACCCTAATATGTTCTAACTAAATGAAGCATCTAGTTCACGAGTCTGCTGTGGAAATGGGGAGGGGGTGGATGCATGATTCTCCGGGGTTGTGTGCGGTATCCCGCAGCTGGTGAACGTTTCCATGCACTGCGAATATGTATTAAGTTAGCTAGCCATAATCAGTCCCCATATAAGAACAACAAGACTGCCGCAAGTAACTTGAAACGTCATTCACAGATTTCATAAGAGTTCTCGGCATATAAACCGTCTTGGCCATCTCGGCATTGTCAGACCCACCAGTAAGCACACAACTTCAACTAAGCACCAAGAATAGCACTTAACGACATGGCGTTGTAACTTATCCTCGTGTCGAGTTCTACCTGTGCAAAGTCGCCAAATTATACTTTGCAGAGGTGTGGTTCAAACTCCTTTCATAAGACGCGAGTCAGGAGAGTTTCGGCGTGTCTCTAATTCAGCCCCACATACCTCCTATCATGAAATAAGCTCTGCTGCATTCAGGCCCACATTGGGTCTCGATCGAGTTGATCAGTAGATGAAGAACTGTTGATCTGATGTTGTGAAATGCGGGCGATTGTATTAGAGGAGGTGTGTATTGCCCTAGTCTACAATGGTTTGTAAACTTGTGGGGGGCGGGAAGGGCCAGGATATGAAACAAGTGAAGAGCACTACTGAAACAGAGCTTGGGCCATTGCATCATTCCTAGGAGAGTAGTAAGTGATGTCGACCGGGAATCTCTCTCTTGAATTCTACCAGTACAGCTAAGGAAGATGATTTTGCGAGAATGGCAGTACTGGCAGAATGAGAAGTAGGGGAAAAATGCGACTTGTCTAGCAAACCCCTTCGTTAAAATCACAAGAAATTTCCAGTTGATATGGGTTTTGGTGTGGCAATTGGGCCCTTTGCACTCAATATTCAGGACTAGACTTATTGTTTCAACGCCGACGCCCAAACTCAAGAGCACGCGAGTCGTGCTGCTACTGATGAGATGAACCGTTTCCCGCTTGTAAATCCCCCAGTAGGTAGGGTTTCGATGTGCTGCTGATCCGATCCTTTACCTTCCTTTCTTGAGCCGCGCTTTAGCTCTTACAAACGCGTATAAGGCCCTTCTGCTCCCTGCTTCTTGGGTTTCGAGCCGATTGACTAAACGAGCTTCCCGTTGTCTGCTGGTCAGAATGGAATACACCCTACCTTTGGTTGACCACAGCCTAGCAATTTTCATCGTCTCGTCTGTCACGGTTGGCTTAGCGATAATTGCTGTGGCGTTGCGATGCTTTGTACGGTTATACATCCTGCGCGCGTTTGGGTGGGATGACGCGCTTATGGTAGCAGCGCTGGTAATTTCCATCGTCCTATCCTTAGTAGATGCTTTATATCGAAGACTGACTAATTGTAGGTGCTGTTCATATCATTGAGTGTGCTGTGTATGATAGGGACGGAAGCCGGGGTCGGCCACACGCTCGCGGACTTCGAGTCGTTCAGTCTAAAGAGTATAAATCCCTCGGATAGTCTGCACGCAGTGCAGTATGCGATGATAGTACGTTCCACAAAGTTGCTCCGCTCACCGTGAACGGCCTCTAATACCTATCAGTACTGGTGGCTTGGACAAATGCTCTACCTGTGGGCGTCGGCCGTCGCCAAAGTAGCCATTGCCCTTGCCCTCCTTCGACTGGCTGTCCGTCCACTGCACCGCTTTATCCTCTGGTCCGTCATAGGCACCGTGGTATGCATCGGGCTCGTCTTCTGGCTTATACTGCTGCTCGATTGCCTGCCAATCGGATACTTTTGGGGGCAGATCAACCCTCTCGAGTCGGGAAATTGCTTATCAACAGATATCCTTCTCATCATCGCATACACTTATAGTTCTCTCACCATCGTCTGTGACTTTACACTTGGGATCTTCCCGGCAGCGTTGATCTGGGACCTGCACATGTCGCCGCGCACAAAAATGGCACTAGGTGCGATCCTCGGGCTGGGGGCAGTGTATGTGACTTCCACGCCAATGAACAGGGACGAGCTAAATAATATTATAGTGCAAGCGTGGCTGTGGTCATCCGCCTCCCATACCTAAAACACTACGCCGACGCGGACTTCCTCTGTAAGCTTCTCCACAACCCCATCACAAGCAAGATTATCTGACAATGCAGACTCGACTTACCAAATCGCCATCTGGTCCGTCATGGAAACCGGCCTCGCCATCATCGTGGGCAGCCTCATTACCCTCCGCCCGCTCTTCCGCTGGTTTCTCGACGGCAGCTCGTCATATCGCTTGGACAGGCCACATTGCGTGCGGCGAGGGGGTTGCATTGCGGGGGGTTATGCATTGTCAAGCTCCACACTGAAGAAATCGGTCACCAAAGACGAGGTGAACTGCTGGCGGCCGGATCTTGTGTCTGTAGATAACTCGCACGCACACGGGGTTATCACGTCTGTCTCGACGCCACTAGGGAGGAGATACTTGAATGGTAGTCAAGAGAACTTTACGGGCGGTTGGCACGGTGGAGTGCAGCATAAGCATCGGGTTAGCGTTCATCGTACATTTACCGTGGAGGATGAGGTGTAGAATACAAGAAATAAGACAAATGATATTGAAATGGATCGGCAACGCAAGTGCTTAGATGAGAAGTGCATTAGGGCACTTGCTCGACGTGAAAACCTCATCATTATTGTTCATGGAGATGTGTACCATCAGGACAGGCCATCGCTGTCTCTCGCGAGCATGTCCACAACCTATACCTGTTGATATAGTGATCTATCCTCGAGAAGGGAATTCGATTGTGGAAATGAAACATCCCATTGATATGGAAGCAGATGGGGAAGTTTTGTTATCAGAACGTACAGTGCCGCAGCGTCTAACAGTATCATGGATGCAGTGGGTGCTGTCTACATGAACCAAGGATGAGTGCTACTTTATTGTTGGGCGACCAGGGTGACTTTAGGATAAGTGCATAAGGGTTGGGATAACCATGCTTACCCCGTTCATGCCCACTTGAATTAATGAGATGGATCAGATGCTGCTGGCTGTGGCACTGTCTTCCTTGGCAGCATGCACGGCCACGTACTGACATGAGATTGGTAGTTATACCGCGACAACAATCTGGAAGTCCATAGGAAGTACTCCGTACAGAGTAACAACATGTTAGCATCCTGTGTTCTACCTAGGTCCAATTACCTCTATCTACCCTACCTTCCCCTGTAGCGCTCGATAGTGACCAGTGATGAATCTTCTAAGTGCTTCTATTTTACCGTATACTTAGCAGTATTTTGAGATAACATAGTATACATAGAACATAATACTGTATTTAGCTATCACTGCTCTTCAATTATAAATCATAATTCTTAGTCCACAAGCTGCGCGCAGCACTCTATATCTTACAAAATGGGAAATTATAACCGTATGATCTCTAGAGGGCTGATAAGAAGTCAGCCGGTACCCTGTACGTACTAATTTCTTAGTTATCTGTCAGCCCGGAATGTTCCGTAAAATGGAAGGAACGGGCAGGGGCTAGTAAGAAGAGGTAGAATAAAAAAAGATGAACCCTTTAGCTTTTACCAGAAGAAAGCACGTCAATAAGCTAAGAAGGTCAAGATGAAGCTTAGAATTCGGCTTAAGAAAGAGAAGAGGAGTTAAGATCAGGCATCTTAGTAGTAGGTGACTCATAGCGCTGGCCACCATACTGCAGCCACTGCAGTGAATATGTTTATAACTTCCAACTAAATTGATCACCAGGTGAAGCTGTATATATTTCCATTTATGTGATGTTGAAAGACTTTAATTTTGGTTGATTAATTCCAATACACGCAATTTGAAATGGCAGCGGTCCGACCGCAGCCTTCGTTATCCGATTACGTTAGATCAAAGGAGGGGGAAGTCCTTTTAAACAAATAGAATTGCTCACTACACCTCCATGTTTACCACAGCCATAACTTGCTAAAAAGGTTTGTGGCCTATAAAGGGACCATCAACCTAGGTATACTTTTTCTTTCCTTTCAGTTGTTTTGGTGATGGGTTGTTTACTTTTACATTTCTGAAGCATCTCTCTGCATAAAACTCTGGCCAAATAAATATGAGGTACGCCGTCGGCATACGTGACCTTATCTCTTCAAGTCATCAAGAGCCTACGAAACAGCCATGCTCATTGTGTCAGTCTAAAGTGGGTAACTTGGAGCGAAGATACTATACCAACAATAGAGAGATGATTCGGGGCATGACAGTAAATAATTTACTTCATACTGAGTGCTCAGAATGCTCGAACATGCAAACAGATCCCTTTTGTCAGTTCTGTGCACATATGAGGCTAGGACACCTTGCACGATGTATCCTCGTCTCTAAATATGACGCAAAATCACCAATATATAGACGGTATGGAACCAATACGAATTTCCTTAGAAGTTTCGCATTCGATTTGGGAACTCTAAACGATGTTCAAAAACGATCTACATCTTGTCAGACCTGCGGAACATTTGCCAGCCATGCAACGTCAATAGCAAACCAGAATCGACTTTCATCGCAGACAATGATCAGATTAGATGTGGAATTAAATGCCGGGGTAATCAGAGGTATCAAATATGAATTGGTGATCAAGTTGTCACTCAAATCACTTGAGTCTTCCACTGTTGCTCCCATCCATCGTACGATAGACCCCTCCCCCCTCTTCATTTTATGGGTCTCCCTGAACTCCTAATAATCTACCCGTGTTTGAATCAAAGAGACTAACGAGACTTGTCTTGCAGGGAAGGCAACTTTCATCGGGGCTGCGGGTGCACTATCGGGAAACAATCTGATATCTCTGCAAAGGCCAGAGCCGCAAGTGAACTGGAAAGATGGCGCCGGTCATGAGATACCCCATCATCATGCAACATATGACTTATCAGTGGAAGAATTTCGCGTCATTGACACCAGTAAAAGATGTGTCATATTGGCTCCTCATGACTGCAAATACGCCACTCTAAGCTATGTTTGGGGTAGAGGAGGTGACCTCCTACAAGCAAAGCTGGATAATATTGACGACCTAGGCAAGGAAGGGTCTCTTGCAGATGATGACTGCTTGCCAGCAACAATCAATAATGCAATAAAGGCATGTCTTAGCCCAGGAATACCATTTTCTGGGTTGATCGACTTTGCATATCACAAGACGATGAGCCATGCAAAAAGGCAAAACAGCTGAATGTCATGGGCAAGATATACAATCAGTCATATCTAACCCTAGTTGCTAACGCAGGAAGAGATGCACATTACGGTCTTCCCGGAACAAATTCACAGAGGCGATCCCCACTGTGGACAGGTCAAACACAGGGAATATACCTGCTTAAAGACATTGACGCATACGATAAGATTTGTCAATCCTCAAAATGGCAAACTCGAGGATGGACATTCCAAGAAGCAATCCTTTCACCAAGATTACAAATATTCACTGATCAAGGGGTATATTACCATTGCCATGGGAAGACCGCACTCGAGGATGAGGACTGTCCAGGTCATTACTCTATATTTTCAAATGTCCAAATCCCGTGTTCTAAATATCCGGATTTGTTGGGCGAATACACAAGCAGGGATCTTACTCGCAAGTCTGATGTCCTCTTCGCAATCTCAGGGACTTTGCACTTCCTTTACGGACAAAACCATAATTATGGCCTGCCGTTTAGTGAATTTAGCCGGGATCTTCTTTGGAAGACCAATGATGGAAAGTATCCTAATTTAAGATTATTTAACTTAGCTAAATTTTTGATATTATAATGCTTGATCTACTACATGGATAGTCTTTTTTAAAATATCTATAAGTTTAACTAAGTATTAATAAAGATGAAAGTCTTGAAGTTTATATAATATACTATAATCATATGAAGCTTGATGATTTGTTCTAAATTATTATATATTATACTTGATTATTGTAAACACAAGGAGGTTGGCCAGTGTACTTGGAGCATGATCTCACCAGACAGTAGGCCAAATATAAGAATAATTATAATGAGATAGTATGAAGAGTGTATCTTAGTCATGAATATAAAATATATTAAGATATTAATACTAGCTACTCTGTTCTTTTTCTATAAATAATATAATGTTCGCGGATGGCCTGTAGGTTATGTAGTAAATACAACTAAGACTTTCAACAGGACTATTATCAGTATGAGTATTCCTTGTGATAAAGGTATCGCTAGGGTTATAGGGATTTAAGTCCTTACACAGTAGGCTAAAACAATATCAGTTAACAAAAAAAAATGTCTTATAGTTATGCATGCAAACACAAAGTATGAAATACTTTCTCTGAGACGGTAAGAAAAATATTTCTGATTAATTAATTAACTAGTTAACTAAGTTAATTATATCTGCTTTAGCGTCTGAATTTTGCAGATTACTTATAGAATCTTTATGAATATATCATTAGCTATTTCTTGCTTCTTGTATTTTCAGTCCTTGGTCTAGTTTAATTAATCAGATAATACACTTCCAAGATATCTTCTTCTTATCATATAAGAATATTCCACTACGCTCTCTGCAGGCAGAGATTTAATAGAATTTCATTCTTCTGCTCAGGTAGATCTGGATTAGAAATCTATTTATGTAGAAATAATCACTGATACTGCCAGTAATAATACATAACAGTCCTGATTGTGATATACTAGTTACTTTTTTTCTAAGTTTTCACAGAGATACTTATATAATCTACCTAGGAGACCTAGGCGTTTATATTCACGACTATAGGTAAAAGAAAGCAAGATACGATCCTTCTGTTCACAGTCTCTGTATGACAGCAGGGTGGATCTGCCGAGTCCAAATATTCCTGACTTTGCTCCTCTCTAGATGGCTAGGTAGAAAGAAAGAGGATATGTATATAAAGCGCGCAAATTTCAGAGAATAATCAATGAGTAGTCCATCCAAAAGCCTTAGTGTACATGATCCCAAAGACCACAGCTAATTGAGCACCAGCTGAATGTAAGTCGGACGAACAGCGTGTGTATGGCAGGTCAGTTGCCGAGCATATGATTGGAACCCGAGTGATTTGCGCTGTTTCAGATTTGACCTCTCACTTTCGGTTTCTGAGTGGAGATATCAGCTGTCCTGTGGTGACTGTATTACAGCAAGTCTATTTATTACCGAGTAACATAATCCAGTCTAGTTGCTTTATAAATTCTGTGGTTGAAGAGGCTGGAGACCTACTGCAGAATCTGATAATGATTTTGTTCAGAGAAGCGATAGCTCTGAATTGTGTATTAATGCTCAGAAGTACACTCCGGAAGGAGTGGTTACTGATCTCTTTCTCGGTGATCAGACGAGAAACCTGGCTGTAAATGAGGGTTTCCAGTATTTTTAGGTTGGTACATTTGTCTTGGAGGATTTGCAAGCTCTGCAGGTTATCTTCTCTGAGTTGAATGTCATCTGATATATTGTCTATGCTCTCGATGACTGGAAAGTTCACGTGTAGGCGTGACAGAAAACCTGCATTTACAGGCTTGATACAGGTGAGGAAAGAATCTAGGAGGCTGTTTTGGTATTTAGAGATATTCTTGAGGATAAACTTATTTGTACTATAGAGAACGGCCCTCGCCTCCATGGAGACTTTTTGATTGGTAAATAGTAATGCCAGCTATTGGTGAGGTCTCTCTGGTGTAAAAGTCTCTATCGGACAACCTGGATTCTGGAAAAGGAAGAGTGGATGTTGTACAGTAAGTATTTTTTTGTAAATAGTATGACGAAGTTCGACAGGGAGGTTAAAAAAGCTATTGGAAGCTGAGTTTGTTGGCTGAGAGTGAATACTTTCCAATCTTGCATCTGATATTGTGGGAGAGATTCAATGTCTTTGCTGGTGATGTATTATGTTGAGCAAGTAATGTTTAGTGCTTGAGTCCAGTTTCTTCCAGGCCTATGCTCGGATGTAATGTCCCTTTCCTTTCCTGGAGAAGCTGAGTAATATATTGTCTCTCAACGGCAGTCGGTTTTTAATCTAAACAATCTTGCGGTTGTACCTCTGGGTGCTCCTATCGCAACGCGTCCATGAGGGGTAGCGAAGCTGGGAGCGACCGATTACGGCCCAAGGATGATCTAGCCAGAAGCCGAGTTAGCATCTGCGTGATGCGTGATGCGTGATGCGTGGTATTTCCAAATGTACTGGTCGTGTAGGATATAGAAAGTAGGTGATGGAGGGAGGTGGGGGGTGTCAACCATGTCCTGGCATTTCCGCGTTCAGGTAGTGGGAAGAGATAAGAATTGTTATGTAAGAGGGGCGGGGCTACTGCGTGCTTGTGAAAGTGCGGGTCTGGTGTTGAGAACAGGCCCGATCTAAGTCCTGTTAGGAAAGATGACTTACCTAGTGTTACTGTACTATCCTCGGCTTTTGGGTACCGTAAACTGTGGATATAAGTAAATAATTCTGACCATCTCCAGAGTGGCTTATAGTGGAGGATTCCCTATACTAGGACAAATGTCCTATAATTGGCTAGTTAACTAAAAATGAATTCTAGTATATTTTATGATTACTAGGCCGTTACCATATTACAGTAGTATTTGAAGCGTTTTATTTGGTTACTTTATTAGTATTCATTCAACTATGTGAACCGATATTCTCGAAATTGGATTTAGTTGTATAAAGGAAGAGACTTGAATCTTAGTAATCTCGGGATATTAAGTACTTTGTAAGTATAAACAAATTTGACCGGTGGTTTGAGTCACTTGAACTGGAGGATTCCTTGTATAAGGTATTAGTTACACGGGAAGACCATGGGTATTGGTCCACAGCCCGACCGTGGGCCCAGCCAGGGAAGTCCCGCCCGTGGTGAGGGGTAAAGTCAGTCTCAAACCGAGCCGAATCAATTCTAGTTACTGGGATCCATCCCAGTTGCTTTGACAAAGGAATGATTGTTGCCCAGATTCTCATACTTTTTTGCATGCTAATCATCGGATAATGGCGCATTCATTGACTGATAAAGACTAATTTCGACGTAAATTATGTCAGCGGTTAGATAGACTTCGGAATAAATCTTGAAGCCTGTTTTGTAATTCTACGGACAAGATCTACCCTCGCTCATTACAGGATGCTCAAGGGGACTTGGGAGTTTCAATGAGGTAGGTATTATATTCTATCAGTTAGATTGAGTTAACTAGGTAAGCAGTCTACCACAACTCTCTTTACTTGAGATTAGTAACGCCGATCAATCGCTTCTTATTTTAACTAGTAATATCTCGGAAGCCTTGAAGCACACAAGGGAGGATGGACTGGGTTATATAAGGTTGAGATCTCTGCAAGGGGATATTACTGAGCAAAGCCTGATGAAGAATTAATCGAACCCAGATGACAAATTTGATAGTGTCATTAGTTCTTCAGACCTTTGGAGTGCGGCTTACAGTGAGGCAGTGGTAAATCTTTGAGATGAAATAGATATTGTTATTTTGGAAGGGAGAAGTGTCATGCAGCTATTTATAGAGCTGGAATAATTAGAGCGGGAAGTGGCTCATGAATCTGCTTTTGACAGAGGGGTGAAATGGTTGCGGTTCTTACAGGTATCTCTTGAGAGATTTAAGTTATTACTGGATTTGGTGACTCCTCTAGCAAATATTGAACCAACGGCAATAACAGTCGTTGGTTTGATTAAAAGTGTGATTGTGGTAAACTGTTATATATACATACCCGCCCCAGTGGAGATGATTTTCCGTGTTGATACAGATACAGATTGCTATAAGTTTTGTGACTGCTGATTTGGACTTTGTAAGGCAGATTACGGATATGCTGGAGAAACTCTCTTATATTGATGACTGTGACACGCTCGGCCAGAAAGCTGATAGAAAAGATATCTATAAGGTATTATTATTGTTATTTTATATGAAATCTATCTAACCCGTTCAGGTACTTGTCATGGTGTACCAAAAGCTGCTTGAGTTTTATAAAGTTGCTTATGAAATGCTGAGCTGGAAAGGGATAAAGTTGATAATTAAAATGGTCCTAGAGACTGATTGCTTTCTGAATATTGTCTAAGAATTTCTGAAGTACTCTGATATCCTCCGGAACCTTATACAGAAAGTAACATGGGAAATTGTGGAGGATATTAAAGTAATGCTTTATGACCATGAGAGTAAGTTATGTAATTAGACTTGTCGAGTAGGTGCTTATCAGACTAAAGTCTTTAAGTGGTTAGGGAGCGGCCAGATGAGCTATTAAAGCCAGTATTATGCTTATCTTCAAGACCTCCGAGCTGATGCAGCTTGTGAATAATTGCTTGAAAATCCTAACTTCATTAATTGGTATGCGGTATCTGACACTAAGTGACTGGTTATTCTTGGTGATATGGGATGTGGAAAGACTGTTGCTATGTTATATCTTGTGGACATGATGAGAGAGAAAATTAGGTGTTGTCTGTCCGAGCCTAAGATATGTTATTACTACTGCCGGGATGATAAGACAGGGAGGGCTACCCATATAGTTTTGGTACTGATTCTATCGCTTCTGGAGCAGCTCCCAGGCTTGAAAAGGTCTTTTTTTGAGTGGTATAAAGAGGCTCAGGCTTCTGGAACATTCGGCCCAGTAATAAGTCTTAAGATATTGGGGGAATATATGGAAAGACTGCTCGAAATGACTGATTGTCCTGTTTTCTTCGTGATTGATAGTCTGGATGAGTGTGATTGGATATCTTGAGGCAGCTTTCTGTATTTACTGGAAAAGTTATCGGGAAAGGTCTTATCTCTGAGAATTTTGCTTTTTAGTTGTCCTGAATAGGAGATATTGGAGCAGCTGGGTGATACAGCTGTTATAGAGCTGGATGTAAATGTTGAGAGAGATATGGTTGTGGTTGAAAAACTGGTTTAAGACTAGTTCTTATATTTATTGATGGATGTCAAGGCACTCGTCCAAGAAAGATTGTCTTATTCAGCGCGAGGGAGCGCTATATGGATGAAGATGATAGTCGAACTTATTAAAGTTTGCAGAATTAGAGCGATTGATCCTATGCAATGGTTCTTGGAGAATATGCTATTATTAAGGCGGCTTTCAGATCTCTATGAAATGTTATTTTTCTGTTGTATTTCTGATGAACCTGAGAATCAAGAGCTTGTAAGTATGGCATTAAAGCTTCTTGCTGTTGCTTATAGATCTCTTAGCTTGCTGGAATTAGTATGGGCTGCAATACTGGGCTTAGCTCATGTTATTATAATAGATGCTCTTGCAAGTCTGGTAGATTATGAAAGAATTATGAGTCTAATTCATCCATTTATTGCTCGCGTTGATATGAGTGATGTGAAGAGATGCCAAGTCCGACTTGTACACCAGTTAGTGAAGGAGTTTATATTAGAGAAATGGTTCTTTAATCTATCTTCTGTACAAGGCATATTTTTAACAGGATCTGATCAACTGATCTCAACCCGGTGCCTTAGGACTCTGAATGCATTTATGCTGGATATATATATTAGGTATCTTCTCTTGGATGATATTGGTAATAGAGATCTTTTTTCTCAGGAGTAAATGGTAATCGCAGAATTGCCCCAAGATGATAATCTGTTTGAGGATAATGAAGAGCCAGCTGACTATAATTTCTACTGCAGCTGGGAAACTTGGGAAGAGAATATGATTTGCTATGATCTGACTGAGCGTGGTTTTGGTGAGTTATTTGTATATGCTTCATGCTACTGGCTGGAGTATTTCGGAGCCACCTCCGATGAAGGCCTCCTGATCTTAGTAAGTATAGAAGATGTATGCTAAGCAGGCTTCCTTTAATTCTGTAACTGGATCCAACAGAACTGTCGCCCAGATTGTGTGATTTTGCCTAGGTTTGAGTTTGAAAGCAGTTTTTATGATTCTCTCAGCATCACATCCCTATACGGTTCAGAAACCATGCTATGTGTTGTACTTGAGAACTTGGATTATGGTAATGGCAAATTTCTGCAGGACCCAGCTATGCGGGCTGCTGACCAAATTCTCCGGTGGGGAGAGATAGCAAGGCTCAGAATACTGTTTTTTGATAATAGGTTGGGCCAACAGCTACAGAATCCTGAATTTTTTTGGCTTGTTATATGAAGATGGGGTGACCGCCCTCCAAGGTGCCAAGATTGGGAACCTGTATTTGATCTTGTTAAGTATATGCCAGATAAATCGGACCAGGGAGAATGGCGCAATGAGCTCTTATGGATGGCTGTTGATGCAAACTGTACGCCCCTGATAAAGCGGTTGGACAGATCTAGCCACGGCACGGATCACTGATATTCTCGTCCGGCCAAATCCATTTCTCTGCAGAGCGCCCTCCGCACCTATAGCCGTTTCCAATTATTAATTATGGCGAATCTATTTAGGCAGTCGTACAGATTTTGCAGAGACTGGCTTTACCACCTATTCTCTTTTAGACTTCCCAGACCCTTGTGCCGAAACACAGATACCCCATGGTTACAGGGATCTGCGGCCTATCCAAAGCTTGAGTGGATAGCTCTGATTAGTGTCTAACCGTAGGAGGGATGGTGTCCGTCAGCACGAGGGTTCGGGAAAGTCTGTATACCATCAACACTCAATCGGCAAAGATAATAGAAGAGAAATGTTCGCAGGCTTTCCTCGGCGCACTTTCCTTAGACTAGTAAGATATTAATATAGTCTTAGAAGAGCAAAGTCATACTAATACTCAGGCTGTGGAGTATGTTTTCATATTGAATATATATTATATATTGAAGTATATACTATAGAAGAAGAATATATGTATTATGGTTTTGTAAAATATATACCAGGCCTAAATTATTAAATCACAGGAGTAGATACTCTAATACTCTGAAGTAACTGTACTTCTCTCAGTAAAATCTGTGTACTTTGAAATTTCAGTCCTGATTTAGTATTTCTGTCGTCTTTCCATCTCATTGTTACTTTGGATTGAATAATTGCTAATATAGTAAATATTGCAGTGTCAGATATCCTGTTGTAATCTATCTCGAGTATTCTAACCAAATCATAGCCAAGGCCCCAGCACTGCTGGAGCTTCACACCAAACGCGCCGAATTACCGGCCTAATTCTTGGAAGTCTTTCTGAATAGTGTGATTATACTAGCTAAGATAATTCGGGAGTAACTGTCGGCACAGGAGATCCGGGATAAATTAAACAGCTTGCGGCTGATTGTAGAGGATATTATCTATATCAGAAATGTAGTTAATAATATTACTCTTATCTGATCTCAGAGTGAAGCGACGGATGCTTGTCTATTAGATGGTATCTGGGAAGGAATAAAAAATCTTTAAATAATAATAAAAGTTAAGAAGCTAAGCCATAAGGCACAGGGTCACGTGCTAATAGTAGTTGCCGAACTCAAGATGTGGGCTAGTGTGTCAGGGACACTGATAAGCCTGGTGAACATAAAGTTCTGCTACATGAAGTTATGTGATTTGGCTAATGAATAAGTCACTTGTATAGAATAGATGGAGAGAGATATTGGAGAGCTTCTTTAGCCAGCTTTAAATTTTATACTAAAACATATTTTTTTTCCGAAAAAGTTAAGATCATGAATAAAGAAACAGTAAGTGGTTTCTGGTTACTCTCAACCCGCAACTTATACATCCAAGGCGTAGTCCTTCCTGTTAACTTACGTGATATATTCGGAGGAAATGCCATGTCAGCTTCATAATTCAAAGCAGAGTATTTGAGTATGATATATTGGGGTTCAAAGGGCAAAAGTAAATATTCAGGTGAAGAGAACTGAACAGGGTGAAGAGAAAGCAGCCAGGGCGTTAAACCCAACAAATCACAAAAAAAAGATAGAAAAACATACAACAGAAGGGATTCGCTGGTGGTCACCCACCCAACTACTAACCTCCCGGCGTGTGGCTTAAGTACGGCTGAGCGGACGGGAAGCCCTGTTTTCCACACCCTGTGGTCGTATGTACTCTCTCTTTCATTGGAAAGGTTTATATAGTGCAATTCGATGCTACACAAGAAGAGCACAATGAGAAGTTACAACCACCATCCACTGTCTTTTATTTGCGTGGGGGTGAAGCCCCATCAGTCAAGGAAGGAATGCGGAAATTTGGCACGGATGCTAGCATAGCAGTACCTCAAAACCCCTGATCTTACACGAACATAAGCGGGTATCAAACTGCGTATGCTAAATCTCAAGCAACACATTTCGGACGAACAACTGACTCGGGGCGTA